CAACCAGTTCGTGCTTCTCGTCTGGAGACATACGGGCAAACACTTTGCCGCATACAAGTACCTATACGACACACATTAGTTCGAAGTATGATAAAAAAAGGAAATAGGCAGTACAACGGCGCTTACCTTATTGAGTACATCTTCATTCCCAAAGTCAACCAACCACCTAAATGCATCACCCGTGACAGCGACAGAGTATTCACGCTCGGCGATAGTGTTGTCTGGAATTGACAGGTCGGTCTCCGCGGTGTTTATAGGCTGTAATTGCATTAGCTGGTAGTAATTGACTATAGGGGAAATACATCTTACCAAGAGTGTTCTTGGGTCCAACTGGAGGTCAGAATTGTCCACGCATTCCCATATGAGAGAGATTTTGGATGAAAGACCAGGCGCTGTTCATCGTTAATACTGAATCGGGTATGGCCTGGATGTGGTTTAACAAACCTTCAACGAAGTGCGGGATGAAACACGGTTCATCGCGTCCAAGCATGTTGCATTCACGAGCAACACTGATGGCAGTCAAGATGTTATCACCAGTGCACATTACATTGCGAATCCCCGCCTCGTTCAACTCGGAAATCACACCGGCGGTACTAGGTTTCAACTTGTTCTCGAATATGATGAATCCCAGGAATTCCAGGTTAGATTCAGCGTCTGTCCGCGTCATTTTTTGGACTTTCATCCAGCTCAACTTTCGTTCGTATTTGGAAGCACAGGCAATCACACGGTATCCCTTGTGGGTGTAGTAATTCAGGAGATCTTCATAATCCGAAGGAACTGCAAAAGATTTGTATCAGTAACGCAGGCTTATGTAGAGAGAGAGAGAGAGAGAGAGAGAGAGAATACTGACGTGATCCAGGAACACATATGTCCTTGATGCTTTCTGGGGCACCCTTGACAAAGAAACTTGCTCCATTGTCGCCAAACGACCTGACGACGACACTTGCGCGGCGGAGATTGGAGACAAATTCGAAACTCCGCAGTACTCCAAGCTCGAGGGGGTTCTGGATATGGTTAGACATGAAGCTAAGGCCGGAATAAAATCAACTTACATTTACATCCTGTTCGTCACCGGTCTGTCGTTGAGGGGGCTTTGCAACTGACGGTGCTATCGTGTCATATTTGGGGATTGTCTGGTCGGAAACAAGATCCCCTCCCTCCTCAAACGTCCAGTTGGTGAATTGGAACATCTTCACATCGAGAGGATCTCCCAACAGCTCACCGTCCACTACTCTAAGGGAATGACATGTAGCCATGACATACATGAGCTTTTTTTGCTTTTCGATATCGTATGCGGAGTCAGCATTTGGGGAAGGGCGAAGAAACCCGTCAGACGTCTCAGAGAGCAATTCCGAAAACCTAGAGATTCTTCTTCAGCGCCAAGTTAAGGATCATACTTAGAAACAGACAAACCTTTTACCGCGGGTAACTGTACGCGCTCCTAGTACATCCAGTCCATCTTCTGTGAGGGTTCCAGTTTTATCGAAACAAACAATGTCCAGCTTTCCTCCCACGTTGACCCTGGTCTCATGTATTAGTCTCGGAGTTAAGCCATTATTCAGCTTCGACCACTCACTTCTGTGGGCTGATACAGAATATGTTCTGTTTCTTCAGTCGTGAAAGCGCAAAATTGGTTCCGATGGTAAGTGTCGCTGGGAGAGCTGGCGGTACGACAATCGTGATCAGATCGAGGGCTCGAATTATGATCAAATGCCAAGCCATCTATGTTTCGTTAGATCAGCGGCCGAAATAACATTGGAAAAATCGTCTCTCTATAATTGACTTACCCCCAATCGAACAAAGTTAACGAATGAAGCAACAAATCCGAGAAGAGCGACTATCCCCATCACAGCGATGTAACGGAACGAGTCCCGATAGAATTTGAATCCAGAAGGCTTCGGGAAAAGCATCGACCGAACTAGAGCTCCCTTGGTTGTCAAAAAGCCAGTTCTCATAACAATTGCCAATGCTACTGCTTCGTCATCGTCAACATTCTGGGGTCGTCTAGCCCGGATTACTTTGGTTCCACTGAAAAGGAAGTGTTTAGCAACATGGGGGTGGATAGAAGGGGTACTGAGATCGAGATATTTGATGGCGTCATCGGTGAGTGGTATTTTAGACACAGGGACAGATTCACCTATTCGAGTTAGACGTATAGATAAATAGGGAGATTTTGCACGAACCAGTGAGCATGCTCTCATTCACAATACAGTCTCCTGACAACAAGATGCAGTCACACGGGACCTGGTTAAGCGATGGGTCGGAGAATTCATACACATCACCCGGAACCAGCTCTTGGGAAGACACGGATCGCCCTGTAGATATGATCAGTTTTGATCAACCAGTAAGGTGATACATAAAAGGAACTCACAGAATCCATTTCTTAGAACGCGAACATCACACTCGAAGAGAGATATCTCCCTAAGCCGACTCATTGTCTGTAGCAGCGTTAGTTTCGGGATATTGGTCTAATTTCTGGGTTGAACGCACTGATTTCGTCTCTAGCACAGTCGTTGCTATGCTGAAAAACGAGATGAGAAAGATACAGACGGCGTAGTAGTAGTACTCATCCAAGGACCACAGAACGAGACTTGCAATTTGGAAGATATAGAAAGGATGAAAGGCCTATACATTGTCAGATATATTGATAGAACAACCAGAAGGAGAACTAACCTCGTCGACGAGAAGCTGAGGGATTGTCTTTTGACCAATTTCGATAGCGTTGCTTCCAAATATCTGTTCCCTGCTGTCTCGTTCATCGGCATCCAATCCAGTTCGCATGACCTTAGCATTAGTCCACGAGGAATCTTTCCAGCCATTTATCAAAGAAAATTTATCCTCGATTGGATTGTAGAAGAACTTCAAATATCGATAGTCAATGAAGTGTAGAGATGCAATAGTCGGGTCATTATCTTCGTCATAGGTGTAATTTAGTGAGTCAGCGAAGACCGTGGAAAGCGGACGTCCATAAGGTTGGCTGCCAACTTCGTGGATGGTGAATTGGTTCCATTGGTCCTATCATGGGTCAGACGGTTTTTGAATGGGGTAGAAAATTCACAATCTCACCTCAACAGCCACCCATTGACATTTCCCTATCGGGGTTGCCTTCCCGATCAGCTTTACCCGCCATCGGGGCAGCCATCGGAAGAGAAGCCAGGCAAATCCACCGGTCAAGATGCAAAGGGTAATGTAGACAGCAAATCCTCCCGAGCTGGTGGAAAAGCCGGCAAAGACAGCCGTCAAATCCTCCGACGCAATATAGACTTTCTGATTCAACCGGCTACCGGTTCGTCGGTCTCGGCCATACGAGCTGGCGGACAGGTAGCGAGAAAGAAGTGGATGTTCGATGGAGTCGCGAGAAGTAGACATGCGCTTAGACACAAAGGATCCCCTGGATGACTCAAGATCTGCATCCCCGATCCCAAGTAGAGATTCTTCATCAATCTCGCTTTGCTCATCCACTGCATCTTCGTTTGACCATTCCGCGAAGTCTTCCCCGTCCTGGAAGTATGTAAAGCTCACTGTGGAGCCTGCTCGATTACGGCGGTGTGCAAACGAGACGACGCTGGAAGGGATACTTTCCGAGATCGGGCCATCGAAGACCTAGTGCGAGTCAGTCCCTGTACCGAAGCCTGCACGTGAGAATAAAGATTTCGGCATACCTCATTACGAGCCATCTCCACATCCGACACGACGCTCATGCTAGAGAGGGGTTAGTGGGGATTCAAGGGCCGAGGTAAACAGGAATGGGGCATAGCAACCTGCTTCGCATGGAATCGCGTCGCAGTCCAGTTCGAGGCATGGAGAGGTCCACGGGACCAGTCCCCGAAGGAGACTGCGCGCGGCTTCCCATGTTTAAGAGGTCGGCTCGGCCGGTTCGCCAAAGGCCTCTCTGAGGGTCGTATTATGGGACTTTGGTAAAGTTGTGTTTCACCGACACAGGACCGAAGGAGGGCATTTACCGCGGAGCGCGAGTTCCCACAAAAGTTGATTGTGAGATCCGAACCTTGGAAGCTTATCGGTGTCCCACAGCGGAGAGCGAGTTATCTCCATGTGACTGCCCGATATAGCGTGGATTACATAATTATATCGGACTCAACTTGGAAATCCCCGGGGTCTATATAAAGTTGTGTACAATAATGGCTTCTAAATGCCATGGTATATATATTGACGGGGTTCCATGGCAATCTAGAAGACCGTATGCGTCTTGGCGTCTTATTCCTGGACTTTCACCGACATCTTATTGGCCACTAAATCATCTACGGGGTTTCGATCTGACTTCGGGAGATACGGAAAGATCTACATGGCGCGACTCAAGGGCCCTGGTTTGATTCCCTTTGAATTTACCCAAGTGACTATTTAGAGTTGATACTTACATCCCTGTAAACAAAGTACTGTGTACATCCTGACTGTACCTTGAAGTTATCGAATTTCATGCAGCTTAGGCAAAACAAGCAACCCGTGTAAAATACCCGTTTCTATAAATATATATCTCCGTCCATTCACGAGGCGAATCTCATTCTACATGTACCTATTCCCCCCAAAAGCAATTAAAACGAAAGCTATATATTCACTCATATCAAAAGAAAAAAGAGTCAAGAATTACAGGGAATAATTCTCAGTTTCATAGCAGAATTGGAATTGGAGAGAGGGGTAATGGTCCAGGATGCGCCACCGGGAGCGATCAGATCGAAAACGATTGTAGGAATCAAGACATCAAGATATAAGAAATTAAGGAAATATAAAATAAATATAAATAGGTCCAAAACAAAAGATTCGATAGATCAAAAGGTATTAAAAAGGGTATTCTAATGTATTGTTGGGAGAATTGCAGTCTTTGCAGGCTCAACCAGAACCGTTCTGCCAAGCCCCTCGGCCACAGGGCGCTAAGGATCCCACCATCTTCCAGACTCTCTCCCCCCAAAACTAAACGGCGTATCAAATTCTTCTTCTTTCTCTCAACCTCATCCTCTCCCTCCCACTCTATCTATCCATTCACCATGTCTGAGCCCATCAGAAATAAGAAGGCGGACTTCCCGGTTGCACCGTAAGGATCCCCCAGTTTTATTTTTCTCTTTATCAAAAGCAAAAAAAAAAAAAAATATACTGACTTGCAGAAAGGACCCCGCAAAACACACCGGCCAACAATGCTCCCATCTCTTCTCACGCTCAGCAGCCTGGTGTATCCAGCATCGAGGAGGGTAAGTCTTCTCTTCTCTTGTCTTCACCGGCATCTCTTTGACCGTTTTCTTTCTCTAGAATCCCTTGACAAAGCTGCCGCTGCTTCGCTCTTCGCCCGCAACCCTGCTCTGGTCTCTATGATCCAAGGAAAGTTGGGTCAACTTGTCGGTCGCTCATCAGGCTACATCGAATCTCTCCCCCCTCCGTCCGCCGCCGTGTCGCTGGCCTGAAGGGTATCCAGAAGGAGCACTCCAAGTTGGAGGCTCAGTTCCAAGAGGAGGTTCTGGAACTCGAGAAGAAGTACTTCGGCAAGTTCACGCCCCTGTACCAGCGTCGTTCTACTATCATCAACGGCGGTGTTGAGCCGACCGAGGCCGAAATCGAGGCCGGAAAGGAGGATGAGGAGAGTGATGATGAGGAGGCCAAGGAGGAGACCAAGAAGGAGGAGGCTGAGATCATGAACGGCATTCCGGAGTTCTGGCTTTCTGCCATGAAGAACCAGATCTCGCTTGCTGAGATGATCACCGAGCGTGATGAGGAGGCTCTCAAGTACCTCACCGACATTCGCATGGAGTACCTTGACCGACCCGGATTCCGCCTCATTTTCGAGTTCTCTGAGAACGATTTCTTCACCAACAAAACCCTCACCAAGTCATACTTCTACAAGGATGAGAGTGGATACGGTGGCGATTTCATTTACGACCACGCCGATGGATCCGAGATTGACTGGAAGGAGGACAAAGACCTGACCCTCCGCCTGGAGAGCAAGAAGCAGCGCAACAAGAGTAAGTACACACGAATTTCGGGATGCTATGTTGAAAAACCGATAACTGACCCTCTTTCAGACACCAAGCAGACCCGCGTTGTTAAGATCAGTGTGCCTACCGAGTCCTTCTTCAACTTCTTCTCGCCCCCACAGCCACCCGCCGAGGATGACGATTCAGTCGCCAGCGACATTGAAGAGCGTCTGGAGCTCGATTACCAGCTTGGTGAGGATATCAAGGAGAAGCTCATTCCCCGTGCCATTGACTGGTTCACCGGTGAGGCTCTCCAGTTTGAGGAGCTCGGTGACGATATGGATGATGGTGAGTTTGATGATGAGGATGATGAGGATGAGGAGGATGATGATGAGGACGAGGAGGATCTCGGCTCGGACCGTGATGTGGACGAGGAGGACACAGACGAAGAGGTATGGCATACATTACTCACCGATTCAGATCAACCTGCTAACTCGTTCTAGGATGGTGCTTCCAAGCCCAAGAAGGAGGCCGCCGAGTGCAAGCAAAACTAAACGAAAAAAAGTTGCCGGTGGTGAATGCCCAACATGAGACTATTCGTACTCTCTGATATTTTGCTTTGCTTTCTGCCTTTTTGTGCCCCCCTGCGTGACCTCTCTATCTTCTAATACTCAATCAATACTTGACATAATCGGTGTGTAATTCTTGCGTCCAACGCTGTAAGGACTTGCACCCATAGCTGAGACACCCTGTCTTCATAGTACATAGTACATATGTACATATAGGTCTACGGGTATGTTTACCCAAATCAGGAAGCAATACCAGAGACAGGACCTACATGTATTCAAAAGTTTCAGATAAAACAAGACCTTTTCTTTATCTTTTTTTCCCCATTCAATTTATAAATAAGTAAATAGAATAAAGTCGAATAAATAATGTAAATAGTAAACAGGTACATGTACGTAGTACCTTGCCGCGTACAATGGGCGGTGACAGGCTGTGGGGGTGTGGCGCCCCCCAGTATATTCCCTAAGCTCCTTCAGGGGCTCTCGCTAAATGGCCAGTTAGTCTCAAGGGTTTTCTTTCCACTCCATCTATTTCTTATCTTCAATCTTTTATTCTATTCTTTCGGAATATGAGATGAGGGGTTGAGAAGTCCCCCTTGTCTTTGGACCCCGTTTCGATACACCTCCGAAAACACCCATTCCCGGAGCTTCTGCAAATATCCCGCTTTGACTGCATCCAGAACGATTAACGACATACATTTCCCATGGCGCACATCTATGAGGTCGGTACACGGGCCTGGCAGCCCGATCCGACAGAAGGATGGCTGGCATCCGAGGTGAAGGAGAAGCTGGAGGATGGAGAGAAAGTGCAGCTTATCTTTGAGTTGGAAAATGGAGAGGTAGGTACCTTGGTCGCTGGACGCTCGACGCGCAATCTTGTGTCTTCAGTTATTGGGGTTGGCCGACTGACACTGTTTTGATCGGCGCAGACAAGAACCGTGGAGACTACGCAGTCCGAGCTGCAGGTCGATAACAACCCTAAACTACCTCCGCTTATGAACCCTGCTATGCTTGAAGCAAGCGAAGATTTGACGAATTTGTCTCACCTGAATGAGCCCGCTGGTTTGTCTTGCTCCTAGGTGTCTTGTGCCATCTTCCCAGCTAACGACCCTTTGAAGTCCTCCAGGCTATAAAACTCCGCTACGCCCAGAAGGAGATATATACCTACAGTGGTATCGTCTTGATCGCAACTAACCCATTCGCCCGAGTCGATTCGCTGTACGTACCGCAGATGGTACAGGTTTATGCAGGGAAACAACGTGCCTCGCAGGCGCCTCACCTGTTCGCAATTGCGGAGGAAGCTTTCGCGTAAGAATCGTCCACCTATTGCCTCTTTGGGTTTGTTTTCGCTCACACTTGATACAGTGACATGCTTCGCGATGGAAAGAATCAGACGATCGTGGTCTCTGGTGAGTCTGGAGCAGGTAAGACCGTGAGCGCCAAATATATCATGCGCTACTTTGCGACCCGCGAGTCCTCCGATCAGCCTGGAAAGTACACCACCAGCCGCGCAGAGGCAATCAGTGAAACCGAAGAACAAATCCTAGCTACCAACCCGGTCATGGAAGCGTTCGGTAACGCCAAAACCACTCGCAACGATAACTCCTCCCGTTTCGGCAAATATATCGAGATCATGTTCGATGACCGAACGAATATCATCGGAGCGAAGATTAGGACGTATCTTCTTGAGCGGTCGAGACTCGTCTTCCAGCCTCTCAAAGAGCGCAATTACCACATCTTCTACCAGCTGGTAGCCGGTGCTTCCGACGCGGAGAAACAGGAGCTGGGTCTCTTGGCTGTCGAAGACTTTGAGTATCTGAACCAAGGCGGCACTCCAGTGATCGACGGTGTCGATGACAAGGCCGAGTTTGAGGCCACCAGAAAGTCGCTGGCTGTGATTGGCGTGTCGAGGGAAGACCAGACAGGCATCTTCCGCGTTCTCGCTGCTTTGCTACACCTCGGTAATGTCAAGATCACAGCTACTCGCACGGAGTCGTCAGTCTCGTCGACCGAGCCTGCACTTCTCCGCGCGTGTGAGATGCTTGGAATCGACCCTACTGAGTTCGCGAAATGGATCGTGAAGAAACAGCTTATCACACGTGGGGAGAAAATCACCTCCAATCTGACACAACAACAGGCTCTGGTTGTCCGAGACTCCGTCGCCAAGTTTATCTATTCAAGTCTGTTTGATTGGCTAGTGGATAAGATCAACCGCCGCCTTGCTACCGATGAAGTGCTTGAGCAGTTCAAATGCTTCATCGGTGTTCTTGATATTTACGGGTTTGAACATTTCGCTAAGAACTCCTTCGAACAATTCTGCATCAATTATGCCAACGAGAAGTTGCAGCAAGAATTCAACCAGCACGTGTTCAAGCTTGAGCAAGAAGAATATGTCAGAGAAGAGATTGACTGGACGTTTATTGACTTTTCGGATAACCAGCCTTGTATCGATCTTATCGAAGCGAAGCTCGGCGTCCTGGCCCTTTTGGATGAAGAGTCTCGACTTCCCATGGGTTCGGATGAGCAGTTTGTCACCAAGCTGCACCATCACTTTGCGGCTGACAAGCAAAAGTTCTACAAGAAACCCCGCTTCGGGAAATCTGCTTTCACTGTCTGTCATTATGCAGTCGATGTCACTTATGAGTCTGATGGATTTATCGAAAAGAACCGTGACACTGTGCCAGATGAGCATTTGGAAGTGTTGCGCAATTCCTCTAATTCTTTCATCAAGGAGATTCTAGACACTGCTGCGGCCGTTCGTGAGAAGGACTCTGCTGCTATGTCGTCCAAGCCAGTTGCAGCAGCTCCTGGGCGCCGGATTGGCGTTGCAGTTAACCGGAAACCCACTCTTGGAGGAATCTTCAAGTCTTCGCTGATTGAATTGATGCACACCATCAACAGTACAGAAGTTCATTACATCCGTTGCATCAAGCCCAATGAGGCAAAGGAGGCTTGGAAATTCGAAGGTCCCATGGTTCTCAGTCAGCTGAGAGCTTGTGGTGTCCTGGAAACTGTCCGTATCAGTACCGCTGGCTACCCAACCCGATGGACTTACGAGGAATTCGCCGTTCGTTACTACATGCTGTGCCATTCCTCGCAATGGACCTCGGAGATTCGTGATATGTGCCATGCAATCCTCCGAAAGGCCCTGGGAGATGAAAAGCAAGATAAGTATCAGCTTGGTCTGACTAAAATCTTCTTCCGGGCTGGTATGCTCGCATTCCTGGAGAATCTCCGAACGTCCAGGTTGAATGAATGCGCTATCATGATCCAGAAGAACTTGCGTGCCAAGTATTACCGCCGCCGCTACCTCGATGCTCGTGAAGCAATTCTCACAACTCAGGCCTTCATTCGGGGCTTCTTGGCACGGCAACATGCCCATGAGATTCGCCGGACTAAGGCTGCTACTACGATCCAGCGGGTCTGGCGTGGCCAGAAGGAGAAGAAGCGGTACACTCAAATCCGCAAGAACTTCATTCTGTTCGAGTCTATTGCGAAGGGATTCCTGTGCCGACGCAACATCATGGACTCTATCAATGGAAATGCGGCCAAGGTCATTCAACGTGCTTTCCGCTCCTGGCGTCAACTCCGGGCCTGGAGACAGTATCGTCGCCAGGTTATCACTATCCAAAATCTCTGGAGAGGCAAAGAGGCAAGAAACGCTTATAAGAGACTTCGTGAGGATGCTCGTGACCTCAAGCAGATTTCTTACAAGCTGGAGAACAAGGTGGTTGAGTTGACCCAGTACTTGCAGTCTCTCAAGCTTGAGAATAAAACCTTGGTCTCACAGCTGGACAATTACGACGCCCAATTGAAGTCATGGAGAACTCGACACAATGCCTTGGAGGCTCGCACGAAGGAACTCCAGGTTGAAGCAAACCAGGCTGGTATCACCGCAGCCCGGTTAGAGGCAATTGAAGAGGAGATGAGTAAGCTTCAACACAGCCACACTGAAGCCCAGGCTACCATCAAGCGCCTCCAAGAAGAGGAGAGAATCTCCCGCGATGCTCTTCAAACCGCCAACGAGGAGTTGGAGCGTCTCAAGCTCTTGGATGCCGAGCATGAGAAAGATAAGACTGGTCTCCGGCAGCGAATTTCCGATCTTGAGGAACAGCTCGAGATTGCCAAGAGATCTGTGCCTTTGAACGGTGTGAACGGCGATGGTATAGCCAACGGCGGCACAGTCCAGGCCCCCACCCCGGGCTTGATCAATCTGGTATCTTCAAAGAAGCCTAAGCCTAAGAGACGCAGTGCCGGTGCTGAAAGGATCGAGACCGACCGCTTCAGCGGTGCATACAACCCTCGGCCTGTTTCGATGGCGATTACCCCTGGATCTATGGCTGCACGTCAAAATGCGGCCATCTCTCCTGGCCTAGAGTCGGTCGAGATGGAGCTCGAGAACTTGCTTTCTGAAGAGGAGGACTTGAACGAGGAAGTCGCTATGGGTCTTATCCGCAACTTGAAGATTCCGCTCCCAACTTCGACACCGCCACCAACTGAAAAGGAAGTCCTGTTCCCTGCATACCTGATTAACCTTGTTACGTCGGAGATGTGGAACAACGGATTTGTTAAGGAGTCAGAGCGATTCTTGGCCAACGTTATGCAGTCTATCCAGCAAGAAGTTATGCAGCATGATGGGGACGACGCGATCAATCCCGGTGCCTTCTGGTTATCCAACGTGCACGAGATGCTATCCTTCGTCTTCCTGGCCGAGGATTGGTATGAAGCACAAAAGACTGAGAACTATGAGTATGACCGCCTGTTGGAAATTGTCAAGCATGATCTCGAGAGCTTGGAATTCAACATCTATCACACTTGGATGAAGGTCTTGAAGAAGAAGCTTTACAAGATGATTGTTCCAGCCATCATCGAGTCTCAATCACTTCCCGGCTTTGTCACCAGTGAAACGAATCGATTCCTTGGAAAGCTTCTGCCCTCCAACAATAACCCAGCTTACAGCATGGACAACCTCCTCAGTCTATTGAATGGTGTTTACAAGGCAATGAAGGCCTTCTACCTTGAGGACGCCATTGTCCTCCAGACCGTTACAGAGCTCTTGCGCCTAGTTGGTGTTACTGCTTTCAACGATCTCCTCATGCGCCGCAACTTCCTGTCGTGGAAGCGTGGTTTGCAGATCAACTACAACATCACCCGTATTGAGGAGTGGTGCAAGAGCCATGATATGCCAGAGGGGACGTTGAAGCTAGAGCATTTGATGGTAAGGCTTCTTGTTTGATACCCATTTGATAATTATACTAACGCCTTGACAGCAAGCGACCAAGCTTCTGCAGCTGAAGAAGGCTACTCTGAATGATATTGAGATTATTCAAGATATCTGTTGGATGTAAGTGAACCCTGGAAGCGACTTTTCCTATGAGTTCACATGACTAACTTTATTGCAGGCTGTCTCCGAACCAAATCCAGAAACTTCTGAACCAGTACCTGGTGGCAGATTACGAACAGCCCATCAACGGCGAGATCATGAAGGCCGTCGCTTCTCGCGTCACAGAGAAGAGCGATGTGCTCCTCCTGGCTCCGGTAGACATGGAGGACAGTGGTCCGTACGAAATCGCCGAGCCGCGTGTTATCACTGCTCTGGAGACATATACCCCATCCTGGCTCCAAACACCGCGGTTGAAGCGACTTGCTGAGATTGTGTCTGCGCAAGCGATGGCACAGCAAGAGAGGCTCGAATTTGACCACGGGATGATGGAGGAGTAGATCTGTACCTGTTGTATATTAGACTTTGGGATTTCCTGTGAGCTACGGATTACGACTTGCCTGGATTATCCATGGCCTTTGCGATACAGTGATGCGCATGATTTTCTTTTGTTTTCAATTGCATATGACGTCTTGGCTTATAGACCAGAAGAGATTGGTAAGAGAATTCCTGTAAATGAGTTTTCCTCTTAACATAAATGACCAATCCAAATACCACAATGTTCAAAAGGGTTGATTCGGTCCCATCATGAGTAGGCTCACTATCCTTGCTCTCTCCCAGGTTGTCTTCGGCTTTCGCCTTTTCTTGACTCTTCAATTTCGTGTGAAATGCCAGACTATACTCATCTGGATTCCAGGATAAAGTCCTGGTCTCGTATCTCCGTCACCTTTCGAGCAATTAGTAGTTCCATTTCATCCCTTTCCTTCTCATCCAATAGGCCCATTCTTTTTTTTCTTTGATGCACCAAATGCTCAATGTTGATGTTTGCAAGGGCTTCCATGTATGATGAGAATGTGTCAAATGTAGTATTTACATCGGGAAGCTTTGAGTGTGGTAAGCCCCCAATTCGGACAAGTTCGTTCATGTTCATTGTTAAAGGCCGGCGTGTGACCTCATGGCTGAGAGCCGATACGAGGTAAAGAGGGCGAAGAGAGCTGAAGCAGAACACCCGCTAGTTGGTTATATAGCAGTTCGAGTCTGCCCTCGTCAATGTTTGGGTCTAGGACTCCACGCTGCCCTATCGGAGAGCCCGATGTATTAAGAGTGTACATCTTTGTTTCATGCTCGATATATTCCATCATGATGATGGACCGAGTTCGAGGGGGCTCCCTTGTTTTATACCGGAATGAAGAATGAGAGAGAATGGTTATCAATGTCTGATCCAAGAGAAATCGCATGATAGCAACTTCATTCACAACTTTATCTTCGGGACACATGACGGCACCAGGCTGTGACAACCGAATCACAGTAGCTCCATTTCGGTACTTTAACTGCCCGGAAATGTTGTACGAACATGATATTCGAGAACACTGGCATCAATTGAAGTATCATTTCTTCATTTCTTCATCTTGGATTTTGATAGATTCGTTCCCATCGGATCCTGTCGTTGGGGCACCACAATGCAGCTACTCCGCGGAGAAACTAAGAAAGTACGAAAGTCATTTCCAAGATCTCAATAGAACATAGGTCTGGGGTGGTCTTGGAAATGGGGTTTAGGAACTGGTTTATATGAATCCCCAACACCTGATAGTGCTGGTCGATATCGGTCAGCGGTAGCGCAGTGGGGTATCCCAGAGTCTTATCTTCGACTTCACAATTTCGAAACTCATACCACATACCACGTCCGTCTCTATCTACATAGCCAAAATGACTCTCACCAAGCTTAACTTCATCACCGGAAACCAAAACAAGCTCCGTGAGGTGCGGGATATCCTCGGTAAGGTTATCGAAGTTGACAACCAGGAGGTCGATGTCCCCGAGATCCAAGGCACAATCGAGGAGATCGCCAAAGAGAAGGCCAAACGTGCCGCTGAAGCGGTAATTTCTTCTTCGACCTTTTTTCCCTAAAATTATATCTGCTTACGAGTGAATAGATCAATGGACCTGCCTTGACCGAAGATACTGCGCTTGAGTTCCATGCGCTCAAGGGTCTCCCTGGGCCATACATGTATGTCTTTGCTATGTTAAACGCTCACTTTAGATAATAGTGCTGATGGTTGTCAAGCAAATATTTCATGGAGAATGTGGGCCACGAGGGCTTGAACAAGATGCTCGATGGCTTCGAAGACAGGACTGGCGAGGCTGTGTGTACCTTTGCCTTTTGCCGGGGCCCGGGTGAAGAGCCCATTATTTTCCAGGGGAGAACTGAGGTGAGGCAAATGCAGTCAATTCAAATCTATATAAATCTAACTGTGATGTACAGGGTACTATTGTGCGGCCCAGAGGCTCAGCAAAGTTTGGTAAGTGCACATCCAACCGAGTTTCGCAGAGAATCAAGATCTGATATATGATAGGCTGGGACGCTATCTTCGAATATAACGGCAAGACATATGCTGAGATGGACAAAGACGAAAAGGTAATAACGATTTTGTTTCCCTCAAAAAAAAAAAAAAAAAAAAAAAAAGCCATGTACTAAGAGCCACACGAACAGAACAAGGTCTCGCACCGGGGCAAGGCGCTGGTGAAGTTGCAGCATTGGCTAGCCGAAGGCCAGCAGTAAATCACCATGGGTATATAACTCGGCCTGCAAAAGACCATAGAAGAATGAGAAACGAAGATCAAAAATTTTATATGGTCCGACGAATTCCCTTAATCCGCATTCTCCGCGTGCGATCGTTTCCACGAATCGACCCATTGTGCGATCCGCTGGCAGTTTGAGTCCACATCTGAATCCTGCTCGCTGTTCAATTCTACCACGATCTCTTCGTCGAATGCCTCCCGCGCTTCATCTGATAGGACGCCGAAGATTTCTGCGTCAACGTTCTCGTCCAGCTTTTTCTCGTGGTATCCCCTTGACATAGATATGTTAGTTTGAAGGTGTAGATAGGGCTGCGGGTCGATTGTCATACCGTGAGGAAAGTCGGTCGTATAGAATGTCTGTAGTGGGGCAGCGGAGGACAACGACGAGATCGATCCAGGACTTGGGGAAGAGGTCGCAGGCGTGCCAGTCGATTAAGTAGCCACCATTAGGAATTTCGTCTTCGAGAGCGTCGAGGAGCTACGTCGCGCATGGATCAACATGTGAATTTTTGAGTCTTGAACCATGGTGGAACGAGTAGCATTCCAGGCGAAGAGCAGATCATTGTGGGAAAAATTTCTTACCTTATCCTCATCGACCACCCAGGTCTTCAATTCCTCGTCATATTCATCGAAGCACCCACGGTCCTTTGCGACTTGATTAATGGACAGGTGCTTGAGGTCGAGCTCTTGCGCGAGTTGTTCGCAGTGGACGGTCTTCCCCACGCCAGGGGTGCCGGTGATGATCACATTTGGAGAGGTGCGCATGTTTTCTTATAAGGATAGAGATCTTAAAGTGGAATTGTAAATTGTAGATTGTAGATTGAAAATGGTTTCCCCAGATGAAATAATTCCATCGGACTAATTTTCGTCCCGGCTATCTTATCGTGGAGGGGTAAGTTACTGCATTGGGGTGTAAAAGACATCAAAGGTTTTATACAAAGAACAGTCTCTTGCATAAAGAATGCTTTTTTCCGTCTTTCTTTGCCGCTTATATATAAAAATGGGAAGGGGAAAAACAGACCACTAAAGAAAAAACACTTAAAAGACATCACGAGGCCGCATGCGCGGCCGTCTACTCTTGTTTATAGTAACTTGGCTTTGTTTTTATTTTTCGCTAATCATGATACAAAAGGTGTGCAATATGAATCGAATCGACTTGATTCTATGTGGCTTCATGTTTCGGGCTGGTCATACATAGTCTAGTACTGATTAGTATTTGAATAATGAGAATGAACCTTGGAATCATCACTCACTTGAGAAGCTCGAAGATCTTGTACTTTTGCAGATAAGGCGTTCCTCTGCGATATGCTTTGAGAAGGCGAGTGGGGTCCGAGGGCTTCACAAAGGCCCCGATCAGACGCTCCATTGCAGGGGAAGTCTTGAACATAGGATCGAACACGAGCAGGTTTGCGCTGCCGTTCTCTCGTATTTCAAATCCGACAATTGTCATAGAATGACCTGACTTGAGTTAGAGAGAAATAAATACGTGGTAAAGTCTTAAGAGGCTGTACCTTGATGTTGGAAGTATATCGGAGGGAGATCGGTCTGAACGATCTTTGTCTCGTCTTCTGGACACGCTGACCGGAAATAATCGGCGACATCAATATAAAGAGCATCGCAGGCCCGTAAATCACTTCTCTCTGACAGACTTCTGGCTTCACATCTGGATATCGAGGTCAGCGGGGATCGAAGCGAGGCAGACCAGACAACTCACGGAATTCCTAGGCTCATGAAAAGTGCTTGTGCCTGGATACTCGTTAGTATATAGAGGATGATCGATGCCGAAAGACTTACTTCAGGGGTCCCAATAAACTTGCGCGTATCTTTGATGCCACCTGTCTCGGCTCTTCCAGAACTATTGAACCCCATATCCCAGGCCGATTCAATCATATCCTGCAGCTCAAGAATCGTTGGGCCCTTATTGGGGAAGTGCTCATGGCCAAAGCCACGCGACTTTTTCAGCCAAGAAACCATCATCTGAATATTGCGATAGCCACAAAATCCGCCTTCCCGACGCATCTTGCAGATATGGCGGACTTTGGGGCTACATAAAAATGCCCGTCGGACGGATTTGTCCTGTTCGCACAGTCGAGCAAGAACAGGAATCAGATGATCGGTCTCGTTTTCCACTGTCTCGCGTCTTGTGAATTTGCCGTCCGATGTGATTTGGGTTTGCTTTGATATGCTGCCGCCTTTTTCCAGCATTTTCTTTAGCCATGATGGCATTTTCTTCTCGTGGGCATGAGGACCCAATTCCGACCGCTAGATCTTTGTTAGTACTTAGCTTTAAAGATGCAAAGTTGGGCAGATACCCCTAATCTCTTTGTGCCATCGGCATTGGTTGTCCTTGGCGGACTGTGAGGCCGTGGTGGCTTGGCGGTGTTTACTCGCGAGGAGTCTCGTTGCATCCCACGTTTGCCTCCTTTGTGAGAGCCGAGCATGTCGAGGGAATCTTCTTCATCAAAGGACCGATCATCCCCATGACCATATGCATCTACAGTTGAGCGTGCCGTTGTGGCCCCGAGATCATCCAGTGCCATATCCTCCGCAACGTGCAGATCCAGATGACTCGAGAGCTCAGTGCTTGCTATTGTCTCACCACATCCATGTGGACAGTCAACATATTTGTCTACGCCATCCTCGTCCGCTGGTGGTGGAGCCGAGTTTTGGCTGGTGAATTCTTGCGGGTTTTCCTGCAGGAAACCAGTTTCCCCAGTTTCTGGATGGCAGAATTCGATGTGTTGGGATACGAAGTCAGCATCGGAGTCCGTAAAAGGACAGAAAGGGCATGATATGGTGTTGTCAGTCATTATGGTTTTTTTTTTCATCCAGTGCTGACGCCGAGAGGGGAAATTGTTAGGTTGCTTGGCATATACCTGCGAGAGGAGCAAAATATGTCTCTGCATAGAATGCAGAATGCAGAAGAAAAACCAAAGTTGATCAAACAGTAAAGTCAGAAGTATAGACAAAGAAATCAATTTGATGCCTAAACGAGCAGAGGGTGCCCGTTCCCCGAGACCCACTACGGCGGAGTTTAGCGGCCAAGTCCACGGATACTTGGATTTACACCTCGAGGCTGTTCTTTCCATCTTTACCTTCTTACCTTCCGAACTTCCTTCCTCCCAACCTTGGAAGATTCCTTCCTTTTATGTAAACATTGAACTTTGGGCAGTTGCTCCCGAGTTAGACATCACATGATCATTTTATGTAATGATTCGGTACCTAGGTAGCTATACGTACTTGATTTCCTTTGCCGCACGTTTTCGATCCACAAGTCAGATATCATTCATCTACATGCAGAGCTCGGGCTACAAACGTCGCAAGACAGCGGGGTTCGCATACTCTGCCATCCCAGCCAGGGACCAAGACATCCTTTCCGATGGTACCGCAAATGAGCGATCTTCAATCCGATCTGTACATGGTATATTCCAGTTCTAGCAGTTAGTTTGCTAGTTTCTTTTAGTAGTCATCCGGCTTATATAACGATCAGGTGGTCTGACAGGAAGTATCCGAAGCCCTCCGGGGGAACCTTACCTTTTTGGGCCATATCTAAAATGCACCACACTAGCGCCTATATATACGTACGCTGTCACTGACAGTCTTGACTGTTGTATTATTAAAGGGTTGGCGTCATTAATGCTCATCACACGCCCTAATTTGAAAATGTCAATTATCTCTCTCGAAATCTTGTCTGTGATTAAATCTCACTGGAATCAATTACACAGTTTAGGCCACTCACAAGCCGCCATTTATCCCCCTGACTGCTGATCTCATACGGATGACCCACCAATATCCCACCAAATCCCCGACATCCCCACAAACAGCCACCACATCCATGGATGCCAGAAGCTTGAACTGAGTGCTCATCTGCCAAGAGTCCTTGGAGCCGCGATGGCAAGTGTCGAGCAGAAATCGCAGTTCCCTGCTCGCCGCCGGAGGAAGTGGGCACCCAAGCTCAAGTCTGGGTGTATGACCTGCAAGTAAGATCCAATATCTCTTTTTTCAAATACCAGAAGCACTTGCTGACCCCTCTACAGAGTTCGCCGAGTCAAATGCGATGAAGAAAAGCCCCACTGTCGACGATGCATGTCGACAGGTCGGAAATGTGACGGGTATGCTCACCCACCTTTTGTGGTAGAGGTTCTCAAATCATGCCACAATAATGATTCACGTGGACAGCGACTTGTTAAGGTGAGTAGTTCATAACAACGACCTTTGGATGATATAATCACACTGAATAGTACGATATGATTGGCCCTGGGAGTTCATCTCCTTTGTTTGAGAGTCACCTTTTGGACAAAGTAACAATCCCATATGCACATCTTTCGGAGCAAACTGACGGATTTCCACTACTGTCTGGACGAAATTCCCCCCTGACATACCCCCTGGCCGAATCGTGGAATACCCACTTCATGCCATTCGTCATCAATAAGTTCAGTCTCTCATTGAAAATGGCCAAACCCATCTACAATACTGTTCCCGATGTCCTTTCCAAGGCGGAGGAGAAGTCTGCTTTATATCAGGCCTGCAATGCTGTCGCATACGCTTACATGGACAACATTGCCTGGACTTCAAAGGCAATCTCGGATCGAGCTAAAGCATACGGATGTGCGCTTATGGCCATGCGTTCAGCTATCCAGGATCCTCAGCTATGCAAAAGCGACAATACATTATTAGCCATATGGCTGCTAGGACTATACGAGGTAAGATCCGATATAGCCACTAGCGAGTGTCGACTCCGCTAACACTTGAATTAAGCTCCTCTTAGGCGTACGAAATGGCAGGGACCAAGTCGCGACCCCTGGATGGCAAATCCACAACCAGGTGTTGTCAGAGGTGATTCGACTGCGTGGCTCGGAACAGTTTACTACCCGGAAAGGGCGGAATCTTTTTGTCATGGTTTTTAGCAACGTGGTAAGTTAGCCTTCATAGATAGTATTCATGGCTAACAGCAGCATGCTAGGAAACCCAAGCATTTATGTCTGGCCAAGAATGTAAAGAGGCATCGGCATGGTTTCTTCAGTTCCATAAACATTGCGAACCATCAGAATACGCAATGCTCCGGGCATGTATTTTTTCGCACCACTGTGCCCGCATCTGCAGCCGGATTCGGGCCATAATTGATACAGGTAACCTCGACGAGGCGCTGTCCGGCTCTCCGTCCATCCTCCAAGAGATGGATGAAGTGGAGCAAGCAACTCAACCCTTATCCCACGAGAAGGCGGTGGCAAGCTATGTGGTAGATCCCCCAATGGCGCCGTACGCTTGGCCGAAGGATGCACATCCGTGTTATGTCGGTGCTCAAGTCCTCCAAAGCAACTTCCGCATGCGCCTTTCATACTCAGTCTTGGAATTCTTAGGCCATGCACGTAAGGCCCCGGGTTGTACGCCTCAACAGCGAATGCTTTTCAAGCGGCACCAGCGTCGCTGCGTCGAGGAGATCCAAGCTCTTGTGGATAAAGTCTCACATATGCTGGATAAGTTGCCTGGTGTGGGGTCTAACGAGCCCCTTGACCAGAGTAAAGGCGTAGTGGATGAACTGGATGATAAAGATTCCGGCACTGAAGGGTCACCAGACACAGAACAAGCTCCATTCGAAGAATCACGCGAGCAATCCACCCCGGCTGTGAGTGTTTATCTTGACTTTCAACAGCCAATAAATGGGAAATCCACTCTATTGTTCAAACACAATGACTGTGGATTATCCGTTCTCCGGTTTGGGTTCGGAGAGATAAACGCACGAGAGGCAGGCAAGACCTAGTCCTAATCCAAGACATGTGTCTTTTCTTTGTATTTCACAGTGGCTTTATCTCCGGTGAAGATACAGCAACGTACATCTTCTATGTCCTGAACAAACCCTGTTTGGAATATTTCTATTCCACGTCGCCCTCGGAGCAATCTCCCATGGATATGTAATTCTTACAAGAGAGGACACATTGGCCCAGCATAAAGATATAAACAGTATTTTCTCACTCCATCTCATGGGGGTTGTGTTGACTTGATAACTCTGCCGGTGCAGTCTTCGCTGAAAGTTCTCTAACCTGGTTGTTCTGCCCTGGTAGACATATGGGGTACTCTGAGACCTCTGATGTTCCCTCTATTGGATTCTTGCGCACGGGATCTACCTTGGTCTTATGCCTGCGACTGACCAACCAAAACGCCACTGCCGCAACCAAAGCTAAGCCAACCACGACGCCAACCACTGGACCTGCGACCCAGGCTTTCGAGGACGAGCCATGTTCTGAGGTCATTGCAGCGGTCGTCGTTGGCTTGGATGTTGACGTCCCCGTATGACCAGGAGATGCATTCGTGGCCGCAGTTTCGGCGGGAAGGTTATCCAAGCCCGATGGCACCGCCAAGGTATTATACTTCAAGTTCATTGAAGATATAGTGGCGGTTGTGGTATATACTGAGGAGTAATTTTTTGTGCCGCTGGAGATCCATGTGCTGGTAGAAAAATAGCAAGAGGCACCGAGCGTAGACTGGGTCATGTTGCAGTCCAAAGTACCAGTGACGATAAAGATAGTGCTGTTCCAGAAGCTGGTAATATCGTAATGAAAGTCCTGGAAAGAAGGACCTGCAGTGAGAGTCTGGGGCAAGATATAGGCAGAAGAGGTGCATTGGTTGGTTGCGCTAGAGCGGCAGTCAATCTGAATTGTGGTGGCTGTAGCACCAGCACTTATGACACTTCCTTCCAGTTTGTTCATATCCATTTCATGCAAGGCTGGGAAGAGAATGTCGACATTTTTCGACTGTGGCGTTTTGGCCGCTGCCATAAGTATCATTGAGGCCATGGCCAGGGCCATACTGATGATACTGATATCGTGTAGGGTCATCGTATCATAGCAAGGAAGGGTAATAGAGGAAGGATATTTGACCTCTCAGTCTAGGGGATTGGGCTTTTTAATAACAGCAAGAAATGATCAGTTCTAGTGCACGGGTCCACCGTGACCTCTTAGACTTGTCAGTGCTTAGTTAGTGTGAGAACAGACGACGGGAATGAGATGGCGATCATCATTATTATGATTGGATCACAGCAATAATAGTGGGAGGTATAATCTTTCAATCCTAAGGTGCGGTCCTACAGATGTAAAAGGCTGGAAGCCCAAGTAAATGCCGGGTACAAAAATAGTATGTACTAGAAAGAATTCTCAAGCAAAACGCACCCAGATGGAAACGCCTTCTCCCATCCCTTATATTGGAAATTGAAATTTACGTTACGCTCAACTTAGGGTTTAGAGTGGATTCCGGCTTCGGGGCTAAGAAATGGGACGGGCTGGAGAGGGACGTGCAACTGGTTGATTTAGGGGCAGAGAAGCATTTATGCAACCATTCCAAATGATAATCTAGTCAACATGTCTCAAGCTTTACTCCGTACTTCGTGTTTATAAGGCCCTGTATGGTCAGCGCTCTACCGAATCTATACTAGGGCTTGGATTTAAACCCTAAATTTCCACTTGACTTTGTAGCTTAGCTTTTTGGGGGCATAAAAGGCAGATCAGACTGTTTCATTGTATATCAATTGCTGTTTGAGGCTGAGCTGGAGGGGCGTAAGGATGACTAGGCTATCTTGATAGGCTAGTTCGTTTAAACCCCCTTCCTATAATCTCCAGCAGAAAGTAAATATCCCAGGTTATACCCGGAAGAGTCTCCTGCACAAAGTAAGCTGTTGTTTTCGCCTTTTTCTGTGCTCTACCTACCTATAGAGCTGAGAAGGGGGATGAACTATCTATAAAAGGAGGACATCTAAAAAGAACATCTGACATCATTGAGAAGACTACTAGAAAAATACTACTAAAAGACATCACAAGGTGGCGAAAGTGGCCGTCTACTCTTGTAGATACACGCATAGAAGAGCTTAAGAACTGTTGACCTAATGCACATTGGATCAGTTCCTCATGGAGACAGACAACCTATACATAACTCTCTCCTCCATCTTCTCTCGTCCGCTCTACTCCATAGGAATCTTGCTAATCCGCATTTCGAGCACTATGAACCAATCTCCAATAGCTTATAAAAGGGCGGCACCCCAGTTCATGCATATACATACAACTTTCGTATGTTCTTATTGCTATTGTATATTACCAAAGATCCAAATATTATATTATCCAAGTCATATCATCATAAATATGCGTCATTTACAGATTGTCCATCATTCGCACCCTACTATAACTAGAGATAGAGACGTGATGTGCTCGGCTCACTAATATCCTCCGAGGTAAATGAGCAATGCAAGAAATCAACTGACCTGGAATCATTTATATCCAGCACTCGATTGAGCTTCACAGTCAACATCCGCCGGTTATCGTGTGTGGAAAGGTGCTATATGACAAGATTCTGTCCGGAACTACACCCCATTGCACCGGTTTCACTGTATGGTCAACAGCCATAGTAATGAGATGACACGCAGCGCTGATTGCCGCACTACACTGTCCAGCCAGCGGCATGTCCGATCTGAAGCGACGCAAGCCCAGAGCTTAGGCGACGATGGGTAGCAACATGCCATCCTCTTCACTCCACCCGAGTTCACCTACTAAGCAGGCAACACATCACAGCCTGATGGACATGGTGTTGGGCGGCGAGAAGCCATCCTCTTTACTCCGCTGGGGCTCGCCTACTAAACATACACCTCACAACCCGACTGATATGGCGATAGGTGGTGAGAAGACTGAAATGGAAACTAAGCTGGAAAGAGATGGGAACACCAACGCTCTCCAGCGATATCGATACCTGACTTGGCGCAAGAACGCCATACATCCTGAAGTTTCGTACGAACTTCTTGACACAGAGGAAAGCCTCCCAGAAGTCGTTCAAGAAGAGATATCTATCAAAGAAGGAAATGCTACGCCGGGAGTCAATGCCCAAGAGAGACTCCGTATCTTGAATACGAAATACTGGCTCCTGTCTCAGAGGTGGTGGTACTGTCGTCCTGACCTGGAAGATATTCAATTGAGGGCCTTGAAACTTTGGCGATCACACCCGCAGTGGTATATGCATCGTACACTCGTCGAGGAATGCGCCGATCGACAAGGATGCTGCGCTCGTGGACGTGGCTGCTGTCTTAACCGCAAAATGCTTCCGTCACGGAGTCTTGGTGTTGGACATTGCACGCTTGAATGTGCATGTTGTCGGAGAGCGAGAGGCTTTGAAGTTTCTCCCACCGATAAGAAACTATTGAAGGAACAGTTCAAGAACACCGTCCAGGAACGGGGCTACCGCATAACCAGATACCGACAAGTTTGGATTTGGGGCCTTGTCGCCGATAGCTGGGAGGACCCATTTGACATGATTGATGCACCGCCGAGCTACGATCAGATTGAAAAGAAAGGCGTGAAGGGACTGCTTGACTGGGTTCAAGCCAAGGTCTGAGGGGGTCCTGACAGCTCACGCCTCAAGGCTGTGATGGACTTGATCCGCGATCCCCAGGAGATGTGGAGTGACTGAAAACTGGAGTGGTTATTGTGGTTATTGTGATTTTCGCTTGGGACTCTTGTACTCTCCTATTAAACACAATAAAGTATCAATTGAGGTACTAGCTAATCGGGCTTATAACTATCAAACCGGGAGGAGGCAATGTGACTTGATACTAAAAGCCTACCATACACAGCAAGTGGTAAAAATGAGTGTGTTTTCTAAGAAGTGGTCTGCTCCCAATTATATAACCTCTGAATGCTTATAAAGCTGCACTAGCAAATTAGCGCTATATAGATCATATGATTTAATAGAGGCACAGAATTGAAGTATAATTAATATGGGCCCAAGGATGGCGCAGATCAATGTGCCTAATGCGGTTGGGGGGGCAGTTTTTTTTTACTACGGCGATACCATAATAAAGGGACTTGTATTGAAAATGGAGTGCCAAGGACTAAAGTGCCAATAGTGAAATCACTGTGCCAACAGTGTTCCACAAACCAACTCTTTCCCAGTCCTGTTCTGTGGAGCTCATCGTCAGCGGGCTACCTTATGAACATGGCAAGTGTGTTGAAGGACAAGTATAAACCAATTTCCAGGCGGATGGAGGTAGCAATAAGTCCAAGAAGGATGCATGCATCACTTTAGACTTTCAGTCGTTAGCCTATGGTTCTCGTTCGGCCTAACTGCAGCGGCAGATAGTAGGTGAGCTTTGTTTCAATTATGAGGCCAAAATCAAGTAGCCATCTAATGCGCAATTATAGGAGACTAAGTCTGTGATAGCTTCGGCCTGGGGATCGCTTCAGATTCAGGGTATGTGTGGGTTGTGCTAGCCAACCGTCCACCGATCGAAATGGATGCTGTTACTATCAAGCAAAATGAACCAAGATTGGGAAGCAACGTTGGGATGCAATGCAGATATGTCGTAGGCACTTTATACTCCGGAAGAATGTTCATCCGAGTGCAACCCAATGAGGGGCCTTTTTATATGAAAATGGCGTGATTGGTGGGGCCTCCGACATCGTTTGGTTCCTGGCTGAAACAGGCAGGCGGTCTCCACTCCCATAACTCTATTGCCAATTGAGTCACAACAAAAAAAAATATGCAGCCGGAAGTGGCCCCAGTGGTCTCCGCTTTCGCCGATTTCCCCTCCAAAACCACTTCTGACTCCCTTACATTACATTGTACACTGTCTTTACTTATTTTGGGTCGACATTATGGCTACCACCATTCTTGATGCGAATCTACCAGTGACTGCGAAGGCCCACAGCAATTGGGTCGTGCAGAAATTCGGTGGTACTAGCGTGGGCAAGTTCGCGCGCAATATCATTGAGCAGGTGGTCCAGTATGACGCATTTTTGTTCGAATTCGACTTTCGACTTGGAGACTGACAATCTTATAGACCCAGCCTTGTCAACAACAGAGTTGCTCTCGTATGCTCTGCGAGAAGCAGCTCTACCAAAGCTGAAGGCACAACCAACCGGTGAGTCATCGTGATACCCTTCAGCCATATCACAATTGAGATACTAATACCAATTTCTTCGGAACAGGCTATTGCGAGCAGCACGGGATGCTGAAAATCCTCGTTCGCGGCAATATCTGACGCTGGTGGAGGCTGTTCGTTTAGAGCATGTCCAAGTCGCCCAGGAGGAGTTGCAGTCGGTAGAAATAAGAGATCAAGTGATTGCGGACATTACCGGAGAATGTGAACGAGTACTCAAGTTCCTGGAGGCCGCTCAGACCCTGGGAGAGATCAGTTCGCGATGTGTGGACAAGGTGATGAGTACCGGTGAGAAGCTGAGCTGTCTGGTCATGGCCGCTCTACTACAAGATCGCGGGGTTGATTCGCAGTATGTGGATCTTTCCGAAATCATTGATTTCAACATCGGTGCCCACGGCTTGGATCAGGACTTTTATAATACCCTGGCAGCAGCTTTCGGCAGCAAGGTCGAGGCGTGCGGACATCGAGTACCTGTGATGACCGGGTACTTCGGCACCATCCCCGGTGGTTTGCTTGATCAAATTGGTCGTGGATATACCGATCTCTGTGCCGCCCTTGTCGCGGTCGGAACCCGTGCGCAGGAGCTGCAAGTGTGGAAGGAGGTAGATGGTATATTTACCGCGGACCCGCGTAAAGTGCCAACGGCTCATCTGCTCCCGGCCATCACCCCCGCCGAAGCCGCTGAATTGACCTTCTATGGATCCGAAGTCATTCATCCGTTCACCATGGAGCAAGTCATTCGCGCACGGATCCCGATTCGCATTAAGAACGTCATGAACCCAAAGAACGAAGGCACTATAATCTTCCCTGACTCTGTGGCCGAACTGGACAGAACCACACCGGGACATGATCCACGTCTGTTCCGGACCCGGAGTCCCAGTCTTGCGCAGACACCGAAACGGCCGACGGCAGTCACCATCAAGCATAATATCCTGGTGATCAACGTGCATTCCAACAAGCGGTCGCTCTCCCATGGTTTCTTTGCCGGCATTTTCTCCGTATTGGACAAGTGGCGCCTATCCATTGATTTGATCTCGACCAGCGAGGTCCACGTGTCCTTGGCTCTTCACTCAGAGATGCCGCTTTTGAATGGAAATGGACAGGATGAGTACCAGGTCATTAATGACGATCTCCAGGGGGCATTGAATGACCTGGAGAAGTATGGAACTGTCGACATCATTCCCGAGATGGCCATTCTCAGTCTGGTGGGCAAGCAGATGAAGAATATGGTTGGAGTCGCAGGCCGTATGTTCACCACCCTCGGAGAGAACAGTGTGAATATCGAGATGATCTCGCAAGGTTAGTGAATAATTGCTGATCCCCAGTCCCCCACACCCCCTCGCTCTACCCTTTTACCCCTGACTGGGGCTAACTGGATCTTTTTCCCCCTCACAGGTGCAAGTGAAATCAATATCTCCTGCGTCATTGAAGAGCGAGACGCCGACCGTGCCCTGAATATCATCCATACCAGCATGTTCACCTTCTTGGACTAAATGTCCCACATTTCCATCGAGCAAAAAATCATTGTTGTTTAAGATATCCCTTGGGTTTTATTTGTGATAGAAAAAAGTTATGCATCCACCCGAGGTCATGCCCCTGTCTTTAGGGGGCACGGCTTTTGTTGGGAAAACCAAGCATAGGCTTTCTTTTTTTGTGATGCATGGGCTTGGCGTTGTCTCATTTTTTCCTAGTTCTTTTTTTTTTGGTCTAGAATAGAAGTTATGAAGCGTTTGTTTCATGAGGGATGGTTTCCTCTAGGTGTTCAGCCTTGAAGGGATATTCGAATCCTATTTCGCATATATCAGATTTTTTCTGTCACCTTGTCCCTTTCCATTGTATCAACCCTCGCTCTTTTTGGCTCATTGAATAAAACTGAGTCTACTCCGTACCTCCTGATTTACACTGATCATACGATCCATACACGATAGAAGCAAAATCTATAGATATCACATGTCACCGTGTTCTAGAGGTTGTGGATGGGTGAATGGACTGGAATCTGGCCATTATTATCGGCGTTTGAAATCACTCCTAGCTGGATCCTTTCAATATTGCTACTGGCATGCTGCCATTTACAATCGTAAAGTACGGTTCCAACCTGTCTATATTGATCGTTATTGTCATAATGGCGTTACGTTTAGCTGAATCTAGCCACCTCATGTCTCTCTTTAATTTCACTTAAGATTCGGAGACTGCCACCTTTAGTGTTACTGTCGGGCTATCTCGAAGCCTTGTGGTACAGGTATCAACTTAGATCCCCTTCCTTACCAGTGCCCTCCTTGTCCTCCTTTTCCCCGACAGTGGCTCCTGGGTATTTATGACGCAGTGGATAGGACCCGTTTGATTAAGTGGAGGGCTAGTACGTCGTTGGATTCTCCAATGACTTGGGCATGGACGGAAAGTAGCATGGCGAAAGAAGAAACAGGTAGTCCGACCCCAAGTGCCCTCAGGGAAACGACAAGAAAGGAAAGCCATGGTAGAGGAATATTGTACGTACAACGACCTAGATGCGGAGTACAGTGCATGAATCTGTTACATGGGGTCTCTGATATACAAGCAAGGGCACATAGGGAGAGAGACTAGAGACCTCCCCTAGATTGAAATAATAGATCCTCAGTTATAGTTTCCATTTATTATTTTATACTTTGCCCGTACTCCATGCTCTCTGTACGGAGTTTTGACTATTAGGTTACGGAACCTGCAGACTAGAGTGCAGCACATGCGTTGTACGGAGTAGAGCTGGACAGTCGGTTGGCCCTCGAAGCACCCGAGAGCCATTTGCCACTAGCCAAGGGCGTTAGGGAGATCCTCCATGACAGCGGAGAAACAAGGGGTGAAAAGCACCGTTTCAGTTACATCGACACGTCTGCATACCGGGTTAACTGGACCAATTGGAGTGGTGTGAAAGGGTTTAAGAATAGTCGGCATCTGGCATTGTCTCAGTCTCCGATGTAGTTGGATTGTCATGCAACATCTTGCAGAACTATCACCGTCGACTTGTAGCCCTAGACCTAAAGATAGATCGGGATGCTTTCAATATGCCATATATAGGTACAATATATGTCCAATAGTGCCATATTCAATCAGGCAATAATGCAAACCTGACATACTTACACTCCTCGGTGGATCAGATCGACGCTAGAAAATGTGAGCAAGGGAGGGGACCCCCTTTGGTACCAGATGTTGAAATAACAGTACCAAGAATACCACCTGGATATGCCCCACCTTCCATAGTAAAACGCGCGACGCGTCTAGCAAGTGACCATACGTGACATGTATTCTCATCTCTCCATCGATCTTCCTCTCTCTCCTCCCCCCGCCTTTCTTCTCACAGGAAAAATTGAACATTTCTAGAATTCTATAATAATGATTTAGTACCTTCCGAGGGAAAGAGAGAGAGAGAAAAAAGACATCTCTTCTGTTTGTCACGGAGCCCCATTCCAAGGTTTTGCGGAAACCC